TCGACGACCTCCTCGCAAGGTTCGACATCCTCCGCAACAGGGCGCAGCAGCCCAGTCAACTCATGATCGGCTACGAGGGCCTTAGCTACTTTTTGCTGCGCGCGGTGGGCGTGTCGAACATCCAGCTCACCATGATCCTGCAGTACTGCAACATGGCCCGCCCGACGGCCGCGCCACAGCTGGCACGCACACTGGTCCAGTTACGCAAAATTGGACATGTGATTGATGGCTTGCCGTGCAAACTTGCCTCGGCCGCGCGTTCGCCCCAGCTTCAAGCGTTTGGGCCCTTCCGCCCGAGGAGCAGCGCTGGGTCCACCTTCAGCGCCGTGAGCCGCCAACGCCGACACATGAGCAGCACCGCGGGCTCAGGGAGGCAGACGGTTGTGCCCATGGTCGTTGCCAAGTTCGTCCGTGCACGTCTCGGGGAAGCGGTGAACAACTGCGTAGTTTGATCTCACGCGCCTTCTGGGTCAGCGACTTTCTCGCCACCCGGAGCCGAAACAACTATGCGCCGTACTGCGTTGGAGAGTGGCTCGGACGGAGTCCAGACATTGTGGGGTGCACGGGCGCCGTTCTCGTAGCCTAGGGCCATCCTCGTGTGCAGCCGACGCCCCTCGCGCTATAGGGGGGGACCGGCCCAGGGTGAGAGCACCGCCCCCCGCCCCCCCATTTATCACCGATCGGGGCCTGGGTGCCCCAACATGCCCAGGCACGTGCGGTTCCGCTGTCGAGAAACATGTCGCCGACCTGTCGGCGATGTATCGCCGATTCCAAGGCGACGTTTCCCCCCCATGAGCCACCCCCCTGATTTCGGGAGGGAGATGGCGTATCAATGACACGATGCCGTTGGTTGCCCTTCAGCGTGTCACTCCTTCCTTCCTGTCCGGAGGCCGGGGACGGATGTTTCTTCAATTCTTCAACAGCGACGCGCTCGCGGGTTCCCCACGGCTGCGTGTAATTGATGCTGTTGTTGTTCTCTCCCGTCGGAGGCTAGAAGCCATACGTATAAACTTTTGGAGCTTTGCGCGGAAATCTTTGACCGGCGATGGACCCCAGTGGCGGCGCCGCAGGCGCCGCCAGGGGGAACGTCCAGCACGGATCCAGGAAATCCTGGCGGACCTCCGAAAGTTGATGGCTGTTGCTGTTTTTCTGTTGCTACGTGTGTCTGCTGGTCAGACACCAGCTTGTTTTCTAGCATGAGGGAAACGGATTCTGAAGGAAACGGTTCCTGGACCCCGGGGCTTTCCCCAGGACCAGTTCTGCACCCTGAACAAATTTTCCGAACGTCCCAGGGCCCGTGGAGGGCCTCGGGAGGACCAAAAACGGCAGAAACCTCAGGACCCGTTTCCCCTCTTGACCCGCTTCTTTGATGGCGGTTCTGGTAGGGAATTCGGGCTCAATGTGTCGCGACGACGGTTCTGGCCCACCACGCTTCGGCGCGACACGCTGTCCACGTCCCAGTCACGAAGAGCCAACCTCCCGAGCGAAGCGGAGCGACCCGCTATCCGCTCGCGGGGCCCGGCGTGTCGCTGGGACCGCCGCCGCAACATGCGAAGCAAATGTTCCCGCTCGCCTTCCCCCCCCCCCCCCACACGGCCCCCGATGCAGCCTTATTGGACGCACCTTCCGATCTGATGCGACTTTCCGATCCGATGCTGACTGAGCCTGTTCTCGCCTCCCCCGCGCCTCGCCCCGTTGCGTGAATGTCCGGCCCCGCGCCGAACCTTCGAGTTGGTTTTGGAGGTCGCCGCGGCGATCGCGGCGGCCACAAGTCGGGGTAACGTTTTCAGCCCCCCGCCGTGATCTGCGATGTAGGCGTGGCTCATAATTCACAGTCTAGCGACAGGGGGATGCTAAGTTATGTCCAACATGGACGTTTTTTTTTCGGGTTACGGTCGGACCGAGGTATAATATCGACGTCGGTTCGGGGAGGGTGCCCTAATGTTCTTCGAGTGACAGTCGGGTGTTCTTGTGCATCCTGGTGGCGGGTACCCTCGAGTGTTCTGCAATTTGGCTGGCGGAGGGTCTCATGTTCCTGAAGGGCGTTCTTCTGCCCTTGGTCCGGCTGCATCACGCAGCCATCGGCCCCTTTCCCTCTGCCGCCACCGCCGGCTGCCCCGCCCCGCAGGTGCTCAGAATAGCCCGCGGGGCCGGCGCTGTTCTCCGCCGCCGCCCCCCCGCGCGCCCCCCTCGCAGCCCGAGGGCGACACGGGACCCGGGAGGGGGGGGGGAGTACCTCAAATTTTGTAACAAAAGGGAATGGGCCACAACCCTCCCAGACGAGCAGTTTTAGAACCCTCCGAAAAGCAGCCATGAAAGGGCGGCTTTTTGCCCAGACCCTGCTGGAACCCTCCAAGACAGCTCAAATCAGACCCCAATAAAACAGACCACCACCCTTTGATTGTGAAATCCGGGGTACGCTGCATCTTCGGGGGAACTCGTCTGTCCCAGCGATTCCTCGCCCCCAGCCCCAGACTTTTTCACTAAAAGTGAAGCCGCTCAGACATGTAGGGAAACTCGGGGATGCACACCTAGGAGGCTATTCGGACGCACCCTTATCGTAGTGGACGCTCCCTATAGTGCATCCTTGAGGTGGGCCCAAAATTGTTGGTCTATTTAGAAGCCCCGACGACGTCGATGATAGGGGTCGAGATATCCCCTGTTAGTCTGTCACCCGATTTGGTGTCTTTTCTTGTGTCCGACGCGGGCTTGATGTGGACTCCACGCGAATCTGGCGTGGATTCGACCGGGGTTCGACGTGGATCCGACGCGGGTCCGACGAGTGCGACGTGGATTGACGCGGATTCGACGCGGATAGGGGGCGCTTCGGGACAGACAGTGCCCCCGCAACATATGGGGGCAATATCAAACATGCCACTACGAGGAACATCGGAGGAGGGCCCGTCGAGACAACGGCGGCCCCCCCTGCCGTCCTCTTTGGGCCTCTTGGAGGCCTCTTGGAGGCCCTCTCGGCCGTCCTCTTTGGGCCTCTTGGAGAGACGGCCTCTCGTCGCCAACGAATCGCCAACGGCTAACTCCGCCTCGAGAGACGGGTCAGGATGGACCCCGGGAGGGCTCCGGGGACCTTCTGAGAGGGCACCTTCTGCGCGGTGCCTCGCTCCACGGGACCCACCAGCAGCCTTCGAACGTGGCGACGGTTTCGCAGATCGCAGCCCCCCTGGGAGGACGGCGAGGTCTCGCTCAGGTCTGCGCGGTGCCTCGCTCCGCTGGACCCACCACCAGCCTTCGAAAGTGGCGACAGTTTCGCAGGTCGCAGCCCCCCAGGGACGGCGAGGTCTCGCGGGAGACAGGAGGCGGGAGGCAGGAGGTGGGAGGAGGAGGACGCGACCGCGGTGCTCTATTCAAAACGAATGCCCAACCAAGGAGGGCTGGGAATCAAAACACCCCCGTCCCCGTATCAAACGCGTTTGGAACACTCCCTTGCCCCGCGTCAAATGATTTGCATCAGCCCCGCGCGCCGCGTAGGTGTTGAAGTTGGCTGGGACTGGCCCTCACACGTTTGTTCGTAACTTACTTATTCCTCATCTCTCTCTATCACGAAGCACGGTCAACATCGCAGGCCCTTCAGGGACCCCCTCCTGCCTTCTCAGAAGGCCGCCCCCCCCCCTCGCGCCCCGCCGCCCTTGCACAGCCCCGCGGTGCCAGGGGGGGGCAGGGGAGAGAGCAGTCCAGGGCGCGAGCTGCGCGGTGCTTGCGCGATTTCGTGGGCCGCTTTCGTTTGGATTTCGTTTGGCAGCAAAGGCGGATCGAAAACAGGGCGAGGGAAACCAAGCCCCGGGCCTCCACAGCGGGGGCCTGGACATCCGCGAGCCGCGCCAAGACCTCGAGGTGTTCTGGCCAGCCTGGGCGCTTCGCCGAGGCGCTCGAGGGTCAGCTTCGCCTGGTCAAGCGCAGACGGCATCCTTGCGAGCCAAGGGCGGCGCAGCGGCTGCATCTTTCACCTGAGCCAGAGCTCACGGCAACGGAACAACAGAGATGACGAATGATGGCCCACGTCGGGGATCATGATTCGAGCGCCGACGGTGGGCCATCGGCGCTCCGAAGGCTTCGCGGCGACGCGATTCGGGGCTCGGAGCTTCGCGCGGGCCTCTGCGCAATGGCGCGGGATATTGAAATCCACTGTTTTTCACGTCCAGATTTCGCGGTCGACGTATAAAATGAATAGGGAACTGGCAGCCACAGTCTCATTCCAGCCGTAAAATCAGGTCATACGTTCCGTCCCTTGCGTTTGCCACAGGTTCCCCCAGGTTTCGCATGGGGGGTCGCCCGCGCGTTTCCGTAGCGATTTTCGGCCCCGCCCTGTCCCGCGGGGATCCTGCAACCCATTGGCCCCCCCCCCCTCTCCCCCCCTCCCCCTACTCCTCCTCCTCCTCCCCCTCCTCCTCCTCCTCCTCCTCCTCCTCCTCCTCCTCCTCGTCTTCCAACTCCCCCCCTCCTCCCCCGCACCCTCCCTTTGCAGGGCGGCTCTCCTCGCTCCGATGTGTGGGGGAACGGGGAGGCGGCAACCGCCGCATGGGTCCCGTCAGCACGCGCACTGCTCTCGGGGAGAAGACGGCCGACGAGGGAGGGGTACGGTCAGGAACTCTGGTTTCGGGTGTCGCGCCGGCGGTTCTGGCCCTCCACGCTGCGGCGCGACGCGCTGTCCATGTCCCGGCTCAGTCCCCAGGCGTCCACGTCCCGAGCGTTTCCCGGCCGCTTGCAAGGCATGGCGTATCGCCGGGGCCGCCGCCGCGACACGCCACGCCGAAACCAAGTATTCCTGACCGTATGGCTGCGCGGGGTCGTCCGCGTGGGCGGGGGGAAGAACCGCGCCCTGCGCTTTGGAGTCCGTGCCGCAGGGCTCCCTGTCTCCGGGGCGCGGCGCGGGGGCGCGAAGGTGCACTCGCAGGCGGCATCGCGCGGCGCGAAGCGCGAACCAGGCGACCTTGGTTGCATCTTCTTCGTGATCTTTTGGTGCCTGGGCAGGCCATTGCTTTTAGCCTCGCCGGCCGCCCTACGGGGCTCGCGGACTGATGCTGAGCGACGAGTGGATGGCGGCATTCATGAAGGAGGCGGAGCTAGACCTCGACAATCTGCCACCGGGCATCAAGGACGAGTTCAAGAAGCGCCTGGATGAGGTTCGCGACGCCGCAATCGTGTCTTGCTTCTGCTCCACAGCTTCACGGTCCTTTCACTGGAGGGGAGCGGGGGTGAAGTCGGCGTCACCCCAACATACTAATACTATGTGTGCGTCGCCCCCCCAGGGGCGACGCTCGCACCGAGACATCTTCGAGTATACGCGTCGTGGCGGGCGCTTGCTGACCGTACGGCTCGGGAAACGATATATTATTAGGTTTGTGCACTATATGTTCGGGCCGGACGCACGCCTCCGAGGAGGACACAGTGCCTATATGCCCTTGTGAGTCTCGTGAAGGGTATGGGGAGCAGAGACAGCAGTAAGCCGGGCAACTGGCATAGTAGGTGGGGCGAGCGGAGATTGCAGATGGCGGGCCCTCCCCAGGTGCGCGTGGGCCAGCAGAGGGCTGCTAGGATCCGTGAGGCAGCAGCGATCGGCAGCAGCAACAAACAATCCGTAAGGGCTTCGCCCCTTGCCGCCGGCCCCCTCTCTCGGAGAATGGGCCATGGAAGAGCTAAGTCATGAGGCCTTGGCGCTGTCGTGAAGCAGTATCGAAACTTCATGCGAAGCCGATTCGCAATCAGCAAAACCAACTGATCACAAGAGGGGTTACCACACCTGGCGATTGGTAAGACGTGTATGGTTTACGGGCTTGGTTACCACACCTTGCGATTAAAGGGCCGAGGGAGTTCTCGCAGTTTGGGTTACCACGCCTTGCGATGGATGTGCGTGAGGGGTGGCACCGAATTTCAGAAATGTGGCAAATCCCTGTGTTTTTGGACCCTGACCCCGCGGATCTGCGTGAGGGGTGGCACCGAATTTCAGAAATGTGGCAAATCCCATGTGTTTTTGGACCCTGACCCCGCGGATCTGCGTGAGGGGTGGCACCGAATTTCAGAAATGTGGCAAATCCCCTGTGTTTTTGGACCCTGACCCCGCGGATCTGCGTGAGGGGTGGCACCGAATTTCAGAAATGTGGCAAATCCATGTGTTTTTGGACCCTGACCCCGCGGATCTGCGTGAGGGGTGGCACCGAATTTCAGAAATGTGGCAAATCCCTTATGTTTTTGGACCCTGACCCCGTGGATCTGCGTGAGGGGTGGCACCGAATTTCAGAAATGTGGCAAATCCCTGTGTTTTTGGACCCTGACCCCGCGGATCTGCGTGAGGGGTGGCACCGAATTTCAGAAATGTGGCAAATCCCTGTGTTTTTGGACCCTGACCCCGCGGATCTGCGTGAGGGGTGTCGATTTCGAGCCCCCCCAGCAATTCAGACAACGCGCCCAGGGGGTGCTAAAAAGCCGGTTTGGGCCTCCCCCCCCCTCGCGCGGTCAATCAACTAGTTACAGTAACCAGCAATAAGTCAACTAGTTACAGTAACCAGCAAGAAGCAGAACTGTAACACTGGAAACTACAAGCTACAACTGGTACAGGAAACTGCGAATCACGGGCCTACAGCCTGGTGGCCCCACAAGGGGGCCGGCGGACTTATCGGCGGCAAGCGAGGGGGGAAGTGAGAAGTCGAAGGCCTCCTCAGAAGGCGGCGGGGCGTCTAGGAAACCCTCGCGCCTTCGGAGAAGTATTCGGTGCCTTCAGGGAAGGCTCAGAAAACGTCTCAGAAGGCCGGGGGACTTCCGAGCCTTCTGAGAAGGCCCGCCCCTTCTCACTTCCTCCCCTCGCTCGAACTTAGATATTCGAAGCTTGTACGTCTTCAGCAGCGCTTGCCATGGTGTCCTGAGTAAATGTCTGAGCCGCTCCTTGCATACGTGTGAGGGGACAGGGCTCAGAAACCACAATATGGTAGGCATTAGCGGCCACATGTTAAACTTGGGGTCATCATGCCCTACTCAATAGTGTCGTGACCGCGGCAGCTATTGGCGCAGCCGTGCGCACTGGCATAGCCACAAACAGAGACAGCTATAAGCATACGTCCCGAACCAGCGGCACGGGGTGGCGGAGAACAAGAACGAGAAGAGGAATTCTCCGAGGACCGACGTATCGTCGCTGGCATCAGCGCGTCAGCGCGGACGTCGGCGTCCCAGCGGGGGATATCGGCGGGCAGAAACTAAACTCGGCCAGGAAAATCTCGTCCGGGCTGAACTCTGCCAGCTGAACTTGGCCAGGCTGAACTCGGCCGGCTGACCGCGGCCAGGCTGAAATCGGCCAGGCTGAATTGTTCAGCCTGGCCGAGTTCAGCTGGCCGAGTTCAGCCTGGCCGAGTCTCGCCTGGCCGAGTCTTTTCCTTGTCGGTGGGGCTGTCGGCGTCTCGGTGTGGATGTGGCTGGCAACATGTGTGTGTGTTTGTGTGTGTGTGTGTTTGTGGGTGCGCTGGTTTGTTTCCGCAGCCGAGGCACACGTCGCAGCTCAACAAGTGCTCTGCCAAATCGTTGAGCTCGATTGGCGCATCGCATGCGTTGGTTCCCAGAGGTCTAGCGAGCGTATCGAAAAACAAGACGGAGGTGTTTCGCTGTTTTCGGCCTCCCTCGCGAGGCCCCCTTGGGACTCAGGATGAAACGTTGGTCCCCGCGAGGGGGTCGAGACTTCTGGGGGCCCCGTCTCGAAAGAATGACGGCAGTCTGGGTGTCTGGTATGTCACAACCCGCTGCGGTTGCGTGGGGGGGGGGGAGACTGGCGGCGAGCACACGGGGAAGGCGCGAGGGGCGCAGCCTTCCAAAGGCCGCGGGGGGGGGGCTTCGTAGCATGCGGGGGCCTTGAAGTGCAGTGAAGCTCACGAGAGGGCGTCTCTCGGGCCGAACGAAAGGGGTGCATAGGGAAAGGGGGGGTACGACATCTGCTGCATGCAGCTGGTTTCGGCCCCGCCGCCCGGCCCATTCCTCGATACATGGGCGCCTCCCAGCGCCGGGAGGCGCTGGGAAAATCAGCTACGTGAGCTGATTCTCTACCCTACCCTTTGCTATCCCCCCCTTTCGTCCCCCCCGAGTCTCTCGGCCGCGCGCAGAGGGGGGTGAGGGGAAAGGGGGGAAGGCTTCTTAGAAGCACCCCTGCTTCTCAGAAGGCGCGGGCGTTATCTACACAGGCAGGGCCCGCGCCTTCTACGGAGCAGCCTCCTTCTAAGAAGCCTTCCCCCATCCCCCTACCCCCCTCTTCGCGCCGCCAAGTCTCACAGGCGGGAGGGTTTCTGAGAATGCCCCCCGCCCTCTTACGGTCAGGAGTTTGGGCTCAGCGTGTCGTTCCGCCTGCTCTGGCCCACCACGCTTCGGCGCGACACGCTGCCCACGTCCCCATTCCCAAGCGTCAGCGTCTCGAGCTCCTCCCAGCATCCCGCCCCGCGGAGCGGAGCGGCACGCTCTCCGCTAGCAAGACTCAGCGTGCCGCCGGGGTCGCCGCAGCGAAACGCCGGAGCAAAAGCTCTTGACCGCAGAGGCCCCCCCCTCCCTCGTCTTCCCAGAGGTGGCCGAGGGCCTCCGTCGCGCCCCGCTCCGCGCGCGCCGCCCGGAGCTGACGAGCAGCGGCTCCGCAGCTGACGGCCGGTGCCGCTGGCCCAGGAGGGCGACGACGCCCACGACGACGACCACGACGACACCTGCGGCTGCTGGGCCCGGGGGGCAGCGGCCTCGGCGAGGGGGCGAGGGCGGCGCTGCGGACCGCCTGGGGCGGCCAGGGGGGCCGCTTGGTGCTCTGAGCCGGGGGGCCCGGACCGCCTGGGGCGGCCCGGGGGTGGCGGGGAGAGGCGGGCTGGCGTGCGGGAGGAGGGGGAGGAGATCGACCCCACGGAGGGCCGGGCGAAAGGGGGGGATTGGGAAAGGGGGGGTTACGAAATCTGCTGCATGCAGCTGGTTTCGGCCTCACCGAGGGGCCCATTCCTCGATACATAGCCGCCTCCGGCGCCGGGAGGCGCCGGGAAAATCAGCTACGTGAGCTGATTCTCAAACCCCCCCTTTGCTATCCCCCCCTTTCGCCCGACCCGAAAGGAGCGACCCTTCGCCGGAGTGACCTTTTGGTGCGGGCCAACATGGATCGTCCGATCGCCGAGCGCGGTGCGGTGGTCGCGTCTTGCGCGCCTGTGTTTGGCCCCCCTAGGCCCCTAACATAATTACCGCGCATCAAAGGTCACTCTTACCCAGGGCCACTCCTGCGTGTAGCCGAGGAGAACGGGGAGGGACATCCCACGTCACGCTCGCGCGCTGGCAGACTGGCCTCAAGCAGGCTTCGGAAGCACGGCTTGAAGTAATATCGCTTGCAGGGCAGCTCCTCCGCAGCAGCCGTCAACCGTTATTTGGTGGCTCGCTTGCACTTCAGGCACCTTTACCAGAAGTACTGATCACCGCCATCATCAGAATTGTCAATGCGCACAGGAGCGGGTCGGCTGCATCCTTCCCCATATCCTTCCCCCATTCCTTCCCTTCTTGCCTCTGCTGTTGCTGTCCTACCAGGCTTGGGTCGGTGGACTTGCGCCAGCCGTCTCTTCCTCTTCTTCCTCCTCCCCGGTGCTTGGGCCTGAAAGCGACGACGGCGACGAGGACGACAACGAGGAGGAGGAGGAGGAGGAGGAGGAGGAGGAGGAGGGTGACAACTACGACGACTAGGAGGTCGAGGACTGACGACGACCACCCTGACGGGCGGGTCGGACGGGTCTAGGTTGACGACTGGCGACGACCACCCTGACGGGCGGGTCGGGCGGGTCTGGCGGGCAGACCCCAAAGGGCGGGTAGGCGGGCGTGTCGGGCGGGCGGGCCCACTTGGCGGGCGGATCGGGTCGGGAGGGAGACCGAGACGGTGTGAGCCTCCCTCCCCCGGAGCCCACAGAGGCCTGCGGAGCCTTCCGCAGGCCTCTGTGGGCGCCTCCAGGGGACCAGACATGGGGCCACGAGGAGCAGGCCTAACCCGTAAGGCGACTCCAGAAATCCACAAAAGCGGGCTGGACTCCTGGGTCAGAGGAGGAAAAAATACCCCTAACGCTACCCTTCCCTCGTTTTCTCCTTTTTGGGCCTCCTGGGAGGCCCTCGTCGCCACCGCTGGATTCGCGTCGAAATCCTTGTCAGAACGCATCCCGTGAGAGGTCCAGTGAGTAGCGGTATCGGTACCTTTCGCGTTCCCCATTCGGACCGATTGATTTCGCCGCAGCAGGTGAAAGAGAAGGAAAAGGAGAAAGACCAGGCGAAGGATCCAGACAAGAGGCAGCATGGGCCCAAGAAGGAGGACGTGCCAAAAGATCCATGGTCGCAGTTGCACCTCCTGTGGGACTCTCTTCCTGACCTCTACTGTATCGGATCCATCCTCCTCTCTCTCTCTCTCTCTCTCTTCACGCCTTGTGTTGTTTGTCTCCCTCCTCGCTCTCTATACATGTTGCCGCTATACTATGTGTCGTGTCCCTACCTCTTCTCTCTCCCTGCCAATGTTTTTATGTGGTCTCTTTGTGATATCTCTCTCTCTCTCTGACTCTAGGTCTGCCTCCTCTGTGTGTGTGTGTCTCTCTCTCTCTTTCTCTCGTTTCTCCATGTTTGTTTGTCTCTCTCTCTCTCTCGTTCTCCCTCTCGTTGTTTCTCTCCCTCTTCCTCTCCGTTCCTTTCTCTTATACTACTTGCCTACGTGCTTGCTCTCTCTCTCTCTCTTGCTATATATGTGTGTATATGTGTCTTTCTCTCTCTCTCTCTCCCTCTCTCTCTCTCTCTTTTTTTTTTTTCTCTCTCTCTCTCTCTCTCTCTCCCTGTCTCTCTATCTCTGTGTCTATCTCTGTCTCTCTCTGCGTCTCTGTGTCTCTGCCTCCGTCTGTGTCTCCGTCTGTGTCTCCGTCTGTGCCTATGTCTCCGTCCCTCCCTCATTCACTTGTTGTTGTATCTTCTCGTAGTTGCCGTTTCTGGTTTCTCTCTCTCTACGTATTTCTCTTTTCTCTCTGCGTAATGTGCTGTACCTCTCTCTCTCTTACTCTTTCCTCGCTCTCGTCTCTCTCTCTCTATCGATATACTGTTTCACTCTCTCACTCAATATTCCTACCTACATATCTGTTTATACACACATTTGCCACTATTAGATTTGTAAGTGTCGCGCCCAAATAATGGTCCGTACAGCGTCTCCTTCTTTATATATGTATACGCACATACAAACATACATACACATATACGTACATGTATACATGCATGTGCGCATCCGTACACACATACATACATGCATGCATGCTTCAAACATATGTGTGTATGTGTAGCTTTCATAGTCTTACCTCCGACTCTATCACGTTCTCCTTCCGAGGTGCCTGGGCACGAGGCAATCTGGGCCGAAGGATGCGCACGTCCATTCACAGTTGTACCTCTGGCCCGCTCGCGTGGGCAAGATCTTTCAACTTTCCCACGCTTGTGCTTGCTCTCCCTCTCCATGAGCCATTCCGACTGTCGATTCAAGTTCGGTTTCGATGATGTCGATTCCGATTTGATTCGATTCGGGATTCCGATCTCGGTTTGGATCTCTATGTGGACGCCTCGGCTCGGGCTTGGCGGGCGCCGATCTCGATACCTCCCCCTCTGCCTGGAGATTGTTTTTGGTAGTATCGGGCCCGCCCCCCCGCCCTCCCCCAGATAACCCAGCCTTGTCGTTCCTGCAGATCCGGGAGGGCAGGAGGGGGCGAGGCAGGTTTGCGTCGTGGCGGTGTTCGCAGGGATTGCGGTGTTCACAGGCGCGGCGATTTTCGCAGCATTGTGATAACGCCCGCGGCCCCGAGGCGTGTTCATAGGCGCGGTGGTGTTCGCGAGTATTGCGGCGTATGGGTATTGGTACATCGACATCGATCGAGTAGTCGGCGTACGGGTGTCGTGTAGTATTGCGGCCGAATCCTGGCAGTCGACGTCGACATCAACAGCTGTGCTTGCACACTCCTCTCAGTATACATGCCGCATGCGGGATGTCCGCACGACGATTTAATAGTCTGTTTCACGTGCTTAAAGCAAGAGGTTGGTTTTGCCAGGAGGCGACGCCGAACAGTATGCATAGTCGGTGATTTTAACAGTCAGTTCGAATTTGGATGGAGGACGTCTACTGCAATCGTTTTGATTTGAGAACGGCCTTGAGGCTGGCAACGTTCAGCATGCACCTGGCGAGTGGACGTTTCGAAGCTCTCTTGGCGCCAAGCGAGTTTTAGATTATACAATGTTTTACGTATCTTTTCATTGCCAGTCTTGCTGCCCGAGTGACTATCTGGATCTCGGCTCGGACCATCGCGCGGTGCACGGGATATTTAATCTAGGCTCAAGTCCTCGACGCCGGAAGTGCCGCCAACACGATGCGTTTCGATGGAAGCTTTCCTTGAACGCCGAGGGCCGCGATCTGTTTTATGAGAGCGTTGAATCTCGACCGTCCTCCTTCTGTGAACTCGAAAGCGACGTTGCTTCCGCGGCGAAACAAGCAGCGACCCATAGTAACTCTGCTCGTTCGCATGCGAAGCCATGGGACGCACCAGAGCTACGGGAGCTGCGCCGGAAGCGGCGCGAGACAAATGACCCACAAGAACGGTTCAGATTGTCCAAATTGGTTTCCCGAGAGCATCGTCAACGCATGCGAAAGTATTGCGATTCTCGTGCTCAGTCGCACCTGCGGGCGTTTGAGGGCATCAAGAATTTACCTCGCGTCCACATGCTCCCCTCGCAGAAAAGCAAGCGTTGCCCATTAGATTGTAATGTGCTTCCAGGCTTCGCTCGAGCGGATATTTTCCACCGATTGCGGTGCTGCCAGAAACGAGTGGGCAGCGGCGCATTGCAATAGAGGCCCGTATATGGTCCCACCGTTTTGCATGGAAGAATTGCGACAAGTTTTCAAGCATACGAAGCGCGGTAAGTGTGCAGACAGTCGCGGCATCACACTGGAAATGTTTGCGTGTGGCGGCGACGTTTTGCATAGACATCTTTTGTCGTGTTTGAATTCGTTTCTCAGCGCTGGGTGTATCGATCCCACGCGGCAGGATACATGTTTTTTTTATCATGTTGCCGAAGACTGGCAGCAGAAATGACGTCAAGAACTGGCGCCCCATAGCGATTCTATGCATAACACACAAGATAATCGCTCGCCTTATTTTTGCACGCTTGCAGCCCGTTCCGGAGAGAACGCAAACGCATGATCAGATTGGATTTCGCCTGTGTCGCTCTGTGGACGATGCCTTCGTTGTTTTGGAGGACCTCAGCACGAAAGCTTGGGAGTGGGAGCTCCCGCTGTGGATCGCCAGCGTTGACCTCACCAAAGCTTTCGACAGATTTGAGCATCACGTTTTTTTTAGTGCATTGTCTGAGCAGGGAGCCGATGTAGAGTATGGGCGGCTCTTGGCGGACATCTACAGTTCCCAATGGGGACGCGTCAATGGCAGCGCAGCTTTTGACATCACGCGCGGCGTCAAGCAGGGCGATGTTTTGTCATCGCTGTTTTTCAACGCCGGCTTGGAGCACGCAATTCGGAAATGCAAAGCGCGGCTCAGCAGTGCGGCTTCGACGTTGGAGGCGTCAGCCTGCTTAGCAACACGCGGTACGCTGACGAGATCTTGTTGCATGCACGTTTGGCTGCAGAGGTCGCTTGTATGCTGAACATTTAGTCGGCAGAGCTAGCTGCGTGCGGCCTCGCATTACATCTGAAGAAAACGCGAATCTTTACTAACGACGTTGCCGTTTCCAACGTCGAAGAGCCTCTCGTTTGGCAGCTTGCCGGTTGCCAGCTGCCCGTCATGATGCCCCAGGTCTTTCACAAGTATCTCGGCAAGAAATTCGGAGGCGATTTGCGCAGCAGATCGGCGAGCAATTTAAGTTATTGCATGGATTGCGCATGGGGGAAATTTCACACCCACAAAGCCGTGCTTCTGAATAAAGCTGTCTCTTCGCGCCTTCGTTTAAAGCTTTTTGACGTGTTTGTTACGCCCACCGCGCTGTGCGGTCTGTCGACCACGGCCACTACAGCACAGCAGCGGTCACTAATTGCATCAACGGTTCAAAAATGCTCCGCCAGCTCGTTGGCTTCAGCAAGCTTCCCGGCGAAAGTTGGGAAGAAGCCGGGGTAAGGTGCAAACAAAAAGTACGCGTTGTTGTGGATATTTTTCCTGTGTCAGATTGGCTTGTCGTGCTGGACCGGTGCACGTGGCGCTTCGTGGCACGAGTTCTCACAGGTGACTCGCACGGATGGCCTGTGCAAGTTATGCGTTGGATCCCAGCTGGAGTCCGGCGCCGAGTTCATTAGACCGCGGCGCAGATGGACAGACGCCATCGGTTCTTTCTTGCGACAAGGGCATGGCACGAACCTCACGAGAGTTATCCGCAGCCAGGAACGTTTCCCTTGGCAGCGGTTGGAGAGTTCATGTCTTACTCTCATGCGAAATGGCTGATGTACAATACAGGTGCTTCAATCTCGCCCTATCCGCCACTTTTCTTCTGCACTCGCGCTATGTTGCCGTAGTGTCTCGCGCCTTCCGTCTCCGCCTGCGGAGCGAGGTGCCTCCTGGGCTCCTCGACCGGACTTGATTTGACCTGGCATTGGTACACGGCGAGCAGCTTCGAACTCGTACCACCTCGCAGGCAAGCGCAGGGGTGCTCCGTGGGCGGACCAGTGCTTCCCGTCCCAAGAGGTTTCCATCGAAGTTGTCGTCTGCACGAGGCCTGCAATGGGCTGGAGGCGCAGGAGGCCGCGGGAGTCAATAATTGGCCTCTTTTTGCGAGAGGAACTTCTGTGTTTCCGCCGAGCGGCCCGACCCGCATTCGTGGGCCCAGGGAGTCAAAGTTCCTGGCGCTTTTGCTGTTGCCTCTCACCCTGCCGGTGCTGCTTCTCCATCCTCGTTCTGCTCCTGCTCGTGCCCTCTGGTGGTCGCAAGTGCACGATGATGCTCTCAAGCACGGCGTGGCGGTCGCAGGCTTGTGTGGTGCTCGCAGGCGCATAGCCTGCGTTCGCAGCCATATTGTTGCGCTAGCCAGCTATCGTCGTGTTGGCAGGGTCTGGCCCACTGTTGCGCATATGCTTGACGCTCGCAGACCACTGCTGCACTGGCAGGGGACGGGGTCCACGAACTTGTTTGGACGAGCTTCGAGATTCGATGGAATGTCACGGGAAGCCTCCGGAGTCAGACTGAACATTTTCCCATCACGGAAATTTTCGACTCTCGCCCAGCCCAGGTTTTGCGGTTTCCCATGTTGCGGGCCGGGATCGTCGAACACGTCTTTTGCGCGTGCCCTTGGCGGAGGTGGAGGGCGTTTGCGGCCGTGGAAGTGAATTATTTTCCGTTGCTGCAATCGGGGTCTCTCTATGTTCGAGAGACTTACGCGATTCCGTTGACCCCTAGGCGAAGTGAGGAGCCCACGGAAAGTGCTAAGACGAGTCATGGTCCTCCATGTCGTACACGCCGATGCGCCCATGTTGCTAATACATGTTTGGCAAGGGAACAGCCAATCATCTCGCGCGACTCTGCAGTCCCGGGAAGCGGACGGTGGCGAACTCATGCAACGGTGCAAGCGCTACGCCCTTCCATTGAGAGCTCTCCTCCACGGAGGGGCGGGTAGGTGGGTGAGAAGGAGGAGGAGGAACAGAAAGAGAGAGAGAGAGAGAGAAAGAGAGAGGAAATCAAAAAGAGACAGGCAGAAAGAAAAAGAGATGAACAAAAAACAAGAAAGAGACATTGGACGCATATGAGGGTCTCTTCGAATGTCCCTTAGGGGTCTTGGGAAGCTCTTGGAGACATCAGGGGGGCTTTGGAGGGCCTCTCGCAGGGTTCTTTGGGGTCTCCTGAGGGTTCTTGGGGCCTCTTTGGGGCTTCTTGGGACCTCTAGGAGGCCTCTTGGGACCTCCTGAGAGCGCCTCGGAGGCGGATGGGGGGAGGGTGGGCCCAGAGAGGGGCCCGAGGGAGGAGGGGGGCGAGCCAGCTCGTCAACGCACCTCTGGAGTCTCCGGAGCCTCCAGGAGAGCCCCAAGATGGCCCGAGAGGGCCCAAACAGAGCGCCAAGGTATTTCAACAGAGCGTCGAGACGGCCCGAGGAGGCCCTATGACGGTCCGAGATGGCTTCGAGACCGTTCACGAGGCCCCCAACACAGCCCAAGAGTGCTCCCAGAGGACCGCCGAGTGGGCCTCAAGAAGCAACCAATCATCCCATTCCCTTTGGAAGATTCATACGTTTACCATACTCTCCTTTTTCGTTTTGCCAGAGTCCAGGACAGCCCAAGGGGCCCCCGAGATCGTCCCAAGACGGCCCCTGAGGTTCCCAAAAGGCCCCGAAAATAGCCCAAGAGGGCCACAAAACGGCCCCAGGTGGCCAGGTGCCCCCAAGATGGCCCAAGAGAGGCCGAAGAGGGGCCCAAGAGGGGGAATATGAACTTACATTTCGAGCCTGTCCCACCTAGATGGCCCCAAGAGCACCCCGGAGAGGAAAGAGGGAGGCGGATTTCCGCCTAGCCCGCCCGTTCCGGATGGGTGGGCCCAGGGAGTTGCATCGCCTGACCCTTCTGATGTTGCTTCTGCCCCCGCTTCTGTTACTGCGTCTCTCTTGTACCCCTCCGTGTTCCGCTCCTCCTCGTACTGTATGGTGGCCACAATTACACTGTGGTGCTGTCAAGCACGGCGGGATGGTCGCAGGCTTTTGTGGTGCTCGCAGGCGCATTGCTGGCGTTCGCAGGCGCACTGCTGCGCTCGCAAGCCATCGTATCATTGGCAGGGTCTGGAATACTGCTGTGCATATGCGTGGCTCTCGCAGACCGTTGTGGTTTTGGCAGGGGACGAGTATCCTGGCGACTAGTTGGTCTCGAACATACTTTGGTGCTTTTAAGCGCGTCGTGGTGCTCGCAAGGCATTGTGATGGTCGCAGGCGACTTGCTCGCGTGCATACTGCGGCGCTCTCAGGCGACTGGTATTGGTAAGGTCTGGCATAGTTTTGTGCATGCACGTGGTGGTCGCATGCTCTCGTGGTGCTGACAGGGCCCGGCATCCCTCGCCGCTTCGAGGCGGCAATTGTCTACCATGGTGCTCTCAATCGTGCTGCAGTTTTGGCAGGCGATTGTGATGCTTGTAGGCGCACTGCAGGTGCTCGCAGGCACAGTGTGGCGTTCGTCGGACGGGGATAGGACGAGGATAGTCCTTTCCAGAGCGTGCTGGGGCCGCGGCGCCCAAGACATCCTCTAGAGCCGCCGGATCTCAGAGATTCACGATTTATCATCACCTGGTTTTGTCTTCGTCCTGGCTTCGTCTTAGCTCGTTGCATTCTGCACGGCTCAGTATACCGTTGTACTCGCACGCGTGTGGTGCTTGCAGACTCTTGTGGAACTGGCAGAGCCCCGCTTCCCTCGCGGCGTGGTGATCGCAAGGGTTGTGTGTGGCGCTCTCGGGTACGCTGTGGCGCTCGCAGACTGATCTCTTCTGCTGGAGTGCAGACACAGTGTTGGTGCTGGCAGGCATGGCGCGGCGCTCGCAGGCTATTATTCGGCGGCGAGCGACGGGGGGAAGTGAGAAGGGGCGGTCTTTCTCAGAAGGCTCGGAACGCCTCCAGCCTCCTGAGAAGTTTTCTGAGCCTTCCCCGAAGACACAAACAACCTCTCAGAAGGCGCGATGGCTTCTGAGAAGCCCCGCTGCCTTCTGAGAAGGCCTTCGACTTCTCACTTCCTCCCCTCGCTCGCCGCCGAAGTACAGCCAACCCGCAAGGTAAGGATGAGCGACTTTCCAAGGTCACCCTGGCATCCTTCCCCTTCGGCCCATCCTTGGCCACTTTCGCTGGCCGCGCCCCGCTTGCAAAGTGTCGACATGTCCCTCAAAGCCCTTGCATCCTAATCGTGCGTCCTTTTTATACGGGTTGACTGTATGGCACTCTGGCAGGGTCCGGCATACTGTGGTGCATACCATGGTGCCCGCGAACAACTGTGGTGCTGACAGTTGCAGGCTTTCCTCGCTGATGGTTTATGACATCCATTGGGGCGCATCTGCAGTGGCGGCGCGCGCAAGCGTGCGCTTCTGGTGCGCGCGGGCCCGCGCGCGAATGCACGCAGGGTGGTGGCGCGCACAGGCACATGTGGCGCTGCCCACAGCGAAAACGTCAGGTTATCGGCCCGCCCTTCCCGCCTCCGGGTTTCGGTTACTGGGGAGATTCCTATATCGGTTTAGTGTGGACAACTTTCTGGAGTGCGTTTTGTGCGCGCAGAACGTCCGCCTCGAGGCATCCCATCATTCCCAGACCTTGCCCACCCCCCCAGATAATCCAGACTAGTGCCGAAAATGAGGGGCACTCTCATGCCGCGTTCTGCCAACGCGAAGTGCTTCGATGGCCAGCCCGATTTTCTGACTCGATGTTGGGTCGGTCTGAGGCCCTACCTGGCTCGGAATGGGGTCCCTCGGTGGCGACCGTTCTCGCCTCCCTTCCAACTCCCCCTTCTCCTCGTGTTCCTCTTTTTTGGAGGAAGCAAAAAGGCGGCAGTGCATAAGGTCTCGGAGCTCCGAAAGTTCACGTGCATGCAGCTGTTTCTTCTTCTATCTTCGCCTCCTTGCTTCTTCTCCTCCTCCTCCTCCTCCTCCTCCTCCTCCTCCTCCTCCTCCTCCTCCTCCTCCTCCCCTCCCCCCGCTTGCCCCTCCCCGTCCTTCCTTTCCATCTCACCCTCGTGGGGCGAACTCCGCAGAGCAGCCAGGTCGAGGGCGCCGCAGGAGAAGAAGGACAAGCCTGCGGCGGTGCCGGGTCCCGACAAGCCCTTGGCGGGCGGGGGGGAGGGAGCTCCGCATTCAGCTTGGCACGGCATTGCACAAAGACTTACGGGGCCCCGAGCGGATTTCTCGAATCGACGCCTGGCCCCCCTGGCGGCGTCTCCAGCACCGCCCCCAGCGTGCTCCGCACGCTAGGGAGGGGGTACCAGCGCCAATCCAACGACTCTGCTCGGGGCTCAGACGGCTTTGTTATTCGTTTCTTCGTCTCGGGAGGAGGTGGTGGATGAGTAGGAGGCGGAAGACGAAACAGAAGAGGAGGAGGAGGAAGAGGAATTTGGGGGAGTTGCTCCATGGGGTTGGGCTTTTTTTACGCGGAGCTTTTAAGGCGAAGTGGGAATTCAGGGTGGGAGGAGGAGAGAGGAGGGGGAATGTTGAGAGGTGCCCATAAGCCCGTGACGTGCGACAGCTGGCGCTCGTAGGCTCCACAGGGTTGCAAAATGCGACGCGCTTTCCTGCATGCCCGAGAAAGTTTTTAACGTTTCATGTTTCAAGGCTGAGAAAGCCGTAAACACGTGACATTTCTCTTGCCTGGATCCCAAAATGGTGTGGATTAGGCGGCATGCCCGTGCGGCGCGGGAAAGGCATAACGTAAAGAGCAGTACAGCCAAGACGCCGAAATAAGGAACAGTTTGGATTCGGAAGGGGCTCGATGTTCCTTGTGTCCTTCCGTGATTGTTCCTCTAGCCCTTCTCGTGCACCCAGGCTTTTTTGAAGCCACAGAGGGGCATCGTTCCTTATTTAGCGGTCCTTATTTCAGCAGCCCAACTGTACAGCCAAGCAGTGGCGAAGCGTCCTTGCCCGCTTATAGGCCCTCCACATCATATTCTAATAACATGTTGTGGTCTGCGCGAAATGTTCTTAGAACGTTCCTGGCTGATATCGTGTCGTTGTAACACATCGCCTTTATGTTCTCAGCACATTGCTTGCGTGATTCGAGCACTCTTCTGTTCTAGGAGCATGGCGTGGTAGGCCTATAGGAATGCCAGGACACTCGGTCCCTGCTCTATAGAGTGCCAGAGAGGGCGCAGAGCAACCGTGCCTGCCGCGTCCTCCTCCTCCTCCTCGGCTGGATCCTCCGGGCCTATGTGCTCTCGCCCCATCGAGGCGCCCTGGATCTGCTCGGCACGAGGGCGCCAGCTATCCAGACCTCCTCGCGCCGCGGAGAGATCACGGGAGGACGTCCTGGGCCATTCTCGGCCTCTACGAGGGCTCTTGCTGGGCCCCGGGGCCGTCAAGGAAGGGCTCGGGGCGAGAAAGTGGCCCTGGGGAAGGGTCGGGACTTCCAGGGCCCCACACAGAAAAATCGAGGCATCGGAAGCTGACCAGAGGGCAGCAAGCGCGGGAGCAGCCGGGGTGTCATGGGGGCCTCTAGGCTGCTGCCCTGGCTCCAAAAGGTGTTGGAGAGAAGCGCAGCCTGCATCATCTCGCGTTCAGCTCCCCTGCGTTTCCTCCTGGCCGGTCTGCGCCAGGACCGATCTTGGCCGGGTCCGCCCTGGGCCCAGACATCCCACGATCTGTTTTTTCAATGCGCGGCCCCAGAGGTCTCGACCCTTTCCCCAGGGCCAGTTTTTCGCCCCCGATCCCTTTTTGGTGGCCCTGGAGCCCGACAACGGGCTCCTGAGGCCCAAGTCGAGGAAACCGCCCGAACTGAAAGAATCAGTCTGTCGGAGATGGGGGACTCTGGCCCTGTTTCGGAGGCCTCCATCGGGCGGCGGGAGTGCGGTTGGGAGTTCCCCGGCCACGGCGTCGCGGGCGCGATGCGCGTGGTGGTGCAGCGCTGCTCGAAGGCCTGCGCCTCCCCCCAGCCCCCCTGGCGCGCGCGCGAGCGTGGGGCGCTGCGGTTCTCTTGGCTGCCACCAGTTCTGCTGCTCAGAGGATGAGGAGGAGGGGGAGGAGGAGGAGGAGGAGGAGGAGGAGGAGGAGGAGGAGGAGGAGGAGACCAGTGTAAACCAAGATTCCAACGATTTTGCAATAAAGTATCCCTCCAAGTTCCCTCCTCATAGGCCCCTGCAAGGGTTCATCTTCATTGAGGGAAGTGCCCCGTTGGAAGGCAACCGTTTGAAAATCCGACATTGCGCTAGAACGCCATTCCTGGGATTTCCTCGCCGCGAATCACCGTTATTTTTTCGTCTGGACGATCCTGAGTTTACCAGAACACCTTCTGGGACTTCAACACCGCGACTCAACGTGACTGCCGCTCCCTAACATTCCGACATTGTGCCAAAACGCCATTTCTGGCTGGAACGTGACCCATGATCATCTTTGACACTGCTGCAAACTCTTAAGACGCATGTGCGCGGCGCTCGGGCGAGAGCCACATTTCGGAAAGGAGCCGCCCTCCATCCGTTCAGCATTTGGTTAAGACGAGTGTGCGCGGTGCTACGGCGAGCGCCACATGCTGAAAGAGGACCGCCCTCCATCCGTGAAGCTCTTTCCAGCTCGTAAGACGAGTGTGCGCGGCGCTGGGGCGAGAGCCACTTTTTGAAAACGGCCCGCCCTCCACGCGTTGAGCTCTTGCGCTCCCCAGGCCTGGCGAGGGCCACCAGAGGCTGGAGACGGCCAGAGCACTTCCGTCTTGATTGTTTCGCGGCGCTGTCTCAGCTGGCCCCTCCTCCGAGAAGCGTGCTGGCCGTCCCCTGGCGCTGGGCCGCCGCGCCGCGCGCCGCGTGAGGACCCAGGCGTCAGGGCGTCATGGCCCAATGTCGGCCATGACCGGCCATGGCCAGCCATGGCGACGACGGTTCTCAGAGGCCCGAGTTCTCAGGGCATGTGGTTCCTTCGCCCACTGATGGGGTCAGCCTTGCGGGGTCAAGAAAATGTTCACTCAATTCCTTGGATTTCCATTTTTCGGGACCACACTTGTCTGAACAACTGTAATATGTTGTGTTTCATTGGCAATTCAATTGGACATTGTGTGAGATGGCCCGTATTTTTATCGGGAAGTGTTTCATTAGTTTGTCATTCGCTGACTCTGATAAAAGTCAGACCCCCATTAGCAGGCGAATGAGGGTTGGTCGGGATAGCTCCTGATTTGGGCCTCCCGCTTTCATGACAGGGTTTCCCTGGAGTGCACTCGGCCCGCGTTTTCTTGAATCACATTCTGCCCCAAAGAACTGTCCTCTCCTGAGACAGGGCTTGTCCAGGATGCGGATGAAGCGGTTCCAGGGTTTTCCTGGATCGCCTTGGGGTGCCCCAAACAGGGCCCTTGGTTTACCAAAGCCCCCGCTTTCGGGGCCCTGAGCACGTAGTTCCCAAGAGATCTGGACTGGACTCCAGGGGCAACGAGTCGAAGAAGGAACAGTTGCATCACCATGTACATTCGGAGGTCCGCGCGGATCTCTTGGATCTGGAGCTCCCTCGCGGCGCATCTGGCGCCGCCCCGCCAGGGATGGCTTTTCAGCGCAGGTCCAAGGAGTCCGCGCGGACCTCCGCAAGTTAATGTATAGGCTGTTTCTGTTGTCTCCAACGATAGAGACGGGTAGGAGCAGAGTGAAACGCATCGCCCTGCAATCGCCCATTCATCGCCGAGGTAGAGGCCTGATGGGCCCACCCCGCCCCGAAACGTGCGGCTTCGCAATCGAGGGCTTGCCGCCAACGATAGATGGGGATGGGATCCGGGGGAAACGCATCGCCCCAGAACCGCCCATTCCTCGCCGATGTAGCAGTCGGCGATGCATAGGCTCTCGATCGAGCTGCAATCGGCGATGCATCGCCGATTGCAGCTCAATGCCCCCCCCTCCAACCCAGACATCCGACAATCTGATCTCTTCAGTGCCCGAATCGAACTGGAGCGCCGGCTGAAAATCTTTCACCGTCGGAGACCTCAGGAGCTGGCCCCCCTGCAGGTTCCATTTCGATCCGATCGGTCCGATTGGATATCGGCCCTGGCCGGCCCGATTCGTTTCGGTCCCGATTTTCGGGCGACCCGATGCGGCCCGATGCTTGCATGGCGCTGTTGTGCATTTTGGCGCCGCCGCTCCGATTCGATTCTGACTCCGAGCCGATGCGGCCCGATTCGGTACGCGCTCCGCTCTGAACCGATTTCCCGAATCGATGCTGACGGCTCCTGTCCCGTCGTTTGGGCGGGTGGAAGAACAGGGCCCCATAGGGGCCCGCTGGGGTCCCTTTTGGATCCCTGCTGGCTCCCAAAGGGGCCCTAGAGGGACCTTTTGGGGCCCTTTTCTCCCCCCCATTTAGGTCATCCCCCAACACTACCCGCCCGAATGATGACAATGACGGTAACGGTGACGATGACGTTTTTTTTCAGTTGTCCCCGAAGACACGGGAAACTTCTCAGAAGAAATCTTCTCAGACGGAGCGAGTGGAGGAGGTGAGAATGAGAAGGCCTTCTCAGAAGGCTTCTGAGAAGACCTTCTTCTTCTCACCTCCCCCCCTTCGCGCTCTCCCCCTCTCGACTCTCCTCGGGATGTTTGTCGGGCGGGCCTAGAGTCAACCCGCATGGTAAGGATGGGCTGGGTGCCCGGGGCGCTCAACACTCACCAGGATGGACCCCGGGAGTGGTCCTAGGACGGATTTCGGGCGGCGGCGGGCGCGCGGTTGGCGGCGAGGAGGGCGGAGGTCGGGGGGCGCTGAGGGCGGCGGCGAGGGACAGGGCGCCGACCGGGGGCGGCGGCGGCGGCGGTGGCGGCGGCGGCGAGGATGGCGACGAGGAAAGGACGGGAAAGAGAGGGGTCCTCCGAGGCTGTTCTCTACAGTCAACCCGCAGCTTCCCAAACTCTCTAAGGTTACGTACCCTTGCATCCTTCCCCTTCGTCCCGTCCTTGGCCGCTTTCGCTGGCCGCGCCCCGCTCGCAAAGCGTCCACATGGCCTTCCATGGCCCTTGCATCCTGATCGTGCTTCTTTGTTGTACGGGTTGACTGTAGATCTGGTGGGGGTGGCTAGGACAGGAGAGCTCGAAATCGCAAATTGGCCAGCAGGACGACATGTACTTGACGCCACGGTGGTGCCAAGATAGAGCTGAAAAGGGCTCAGCCAGAGCCCAACAAGTGCCCAAGAGCGCCCCAAACAAGCTTCACGAAATCCAAGAGTTCCACCCCCTCCTCACAGCAGAGGCTCCGCCCAACATGAGGTTATGGTAACCCGTGGAAGCAATTAACGACACCCCGCCCCCTTCGTCGAAACTATGCCGCTTCTTGTCCCTGAAAGTAATGTCCCGCCCCAAGGCCCCTCAGCGCAGGATCTCACCAAGGTCCTACTAGGATTCTACTGCGCCCCAATCGGAATTCAATGATCGCCCAGGAGGGTTGCAAGATGAACCCAGTAATATCCCAATCGGATTCCGATCGGATTCTGATTGGGTTCAAAGAAGATCCCAGATCCTGGTAGGACTCCACCATCGGACTCCCTCACAGGAGTCCTCCATTGGAGTCCCCAGTCGGATTCTCCCCAGGGGACCTCCCCCATGGGACTGCCCCCACAGCAAGCCTTCTCATGTGACCTCCTTAAGTTCTACTTAGTTAGCGAGGGCTCCCCCATTGGACCTCCCCCATCGAACTCCCCTCCCACGGGACTCCCTTCATAGGAGTCCCCCCATAGCACTACCCCCAAATTGATTGTCTGGGGTGATAGCGATATCGCTCGATGGTTTCTCCCCCTCCCCTCTGGAATAACTTAATTATTTTGAGTACCACGGATAGCGGGTGGGCTCGTTATTTGGGTCTCCGGGTGGGGACCAGGATAGATCGTTCCAGAGCGTTTCCGTACGTTCTTAGGGCGTTCGAGAACGATTTTAGAAGGCCGAGGCGCACGAATCATCCTCCATGGCCGCCAGATTTCACGGATTCCCGACTTATCCCAGTCCGATTCCGTCCATGTCCTGGCTTCGCCTGAACAAGGGCTGTGATGGTCCCGTTGCGAAAAAGTCACGACGGATGGTTTTGGGCTGGTTTCGGCCTTTGGGGGCCCTCCAGGTCCTGGGACTGTCAGAAGCCATTCGGGATGGAGAAGCGCTTCTTGGGAAGGGATCCCGAGCTCCTGTGGTCTACGTTGTGAAAAATCACGATGTCGGAGTTCTGGATCAGATGTTGCTCGAGCGTTCTCGGCCGCGCGGCCCTAAGCCCAGACATGCAATGCCCCGATGTTTTCAAAATACGGGTCCGCAGAAGTCCTGGCCCTTTCCCCAGGGGCTGTTTTTTTTGTCCAGGGCGTTCTGGACGGCCTTGGGGCCAGCGAGGGCCCCCAGGGGCCGAGCACGGCCAACGACCTCCCGCCGTGTTTTGCTGTGGTTGTTGTTGTTGTTGTTGTTGTTGTTGTTGTTGTTGTTGTTGTTGTTGTTGTTGGTGTTGTTGTTGGTGTTGTTGTTGTTGTTGTTGTTGTTGGTGGTGGTGGTGGTGGTGGTGGTGGTGGTGGTGGTGGTTGTTTGTTTGTTTCGTTTCCGTGCACGAGCCCGCCTGGGAGGAGCGCCTCCTCCAGAGCCGCCTGATCTCTCAGAGGCCCCCGTCTGCCCCGGGCCGGCTCTCTCCTCGGCCCTGGCCTCGCCGTCAGGGGGCACGCCTCGCGCCCGGAGCCGGCGGCGCGCACGGGGGGGTGGCTCGGCCCAAACGTTTTCTTCGCAGCCTCGTGGGCCGTGGTCGTCTTGACTTCGTTTCGCAGTCAAGGCGGGACGAAGAAGCACAACGAAAAGGGAATTTATCGTCTAGGTCGAGCCCTGCACGAGGGGGCGGCGCGAGGGGGGGCGGCGTGCTGAGAGAGCCACGGGGGGGGGGGGGGCAGGGGCCCTCGCAGACGCGCCCCGAGGCCTCCAGGACGCATGCGGCGGGGGCGTCCGTTAGGGAGCCAGGGGGCTTTCGACCCTGGAGGCTTCCTTCTCTGATGAGGGCGGCGATGAGATCCATGGCCGATCTGCGATTCGAGTTCCACCAGCTTCCAGGCCCTGGATTCCTTAAATCTAAGGGTTTCGGATCCAGTGCCCCCACCGTGTCTCAGAAGCCGCCGGGCCCCTCTGAGAAGGTCCACGCCTTTGCGACGCCTGCTCAGGAGCACCCCGCCTTCTTAGGAGGCCGACCCCTTCGCGCCTCCCTGAGACCCGACGACGCGAACAACTCGCAACACCGCCAAAACCACGTCAGGAGCTCGGCGCCCGGCAATGGGCGAGAAGAAAATACCCGGCGCCAGCAGACTGAGACGCCAGGACCTCGGGGCCCTCTTGGGCAACTTTTCGAGCCGGATCGATCTGCGAGGGCCGCGATCGGACGGGGCAAGGACGAGGAGAGTCTGTCCCAGAGCGTTCCAGAACGCTCTCAGAGCGTCCCGGAAAGCTCTGAGAAGGCCGCGAGGCCCGATACGTCCTCCAGAGGCGCCGGGTCTGAGAGATCTTCGACGACGTATCTTCACCCGGGTTTACCCTCGTCCTGGCTCTGGGCGAGAAGACGCCTGTCGCGAAAAAGTTGAGACCCCAGGACGTCATGGCTGGGCCATTTCTCGAGCCGCATATCGTCAGGAGGGAAACGAACACACGGACACAATTCATCGTCGATTCTCAGGAAAATATACGGAAATATAGGACATGGGGGGGAAGACAGAAACCCAGAAAGTATGTGAAAATATGGGGACTCCTGGGATTTGTGCGTTATTATTATTATTATTATTATGATTATTATTATTTATTATTATTATTATGATTATTATTATTATTATTATTATTATTATTATTTTTATCATTATTATTCTTGCTATTATTATTAGTATTACTACTATTATTATTATTACTATTATTATTATTATTATTATTATTATTGTTATCATTATTATCATTATTATTATTATTATCATTATTATTATTAGTAGTAGTAGTATTTTTATTATTATCATTAATATCATTATTCTTATTATTATTGTGTGTGTATGTGTGTGTTGTGGGCCCCTTCATGTCGATCTGCGCAGGCCCCGGCGTCCGAATTGGGGCGAAGACGCCCGGCGCGCGAGAGCGGAGTCGCCAGGGCCTCTTGGCGGCGAGCCCAGGGGGGAGTCGCAAACATGGATTGAGGGGCGTGGATTAGCGACGGGTTCCGTTTCCATGGGGAATCGCGGATTTCCGCCGCCGAAGGAGGCGGCACTGGCCGCATCTTGGGGAGGGCACCTCCCCGGATCCATGGATTTGGCGACCTCGCGCCAAATACATGGATCGCTAGTCCATGTTTGCGCGCCCCCGAACAGGGGGGGGGATGCATCGACCTCCAATCGCCCATTGATCGCGGACACGAGCCCGATGGCCCCACCCTGCCCAGGAACGTGCGGGTTCATTATCGGAGGCCAGTCGCCGATCTAGCGGCGATGTATCGCCGATTGCGGGTCGATGTTTCCCCCCCCCCCCCCCCCACCTTGTGCCAGTCCCCCCCAACCGTTGCCCCTCAGGGAGTGCAGAGGTGGCGGGCCTTCTCAGAAGGCTTGAAATGCCTCCGTCCCCCCGAGAAGTCTTCTGGGCCCTCTCAGGAGGCCCTCCCAGAAGCCCCGCCGCCTTCTGAGAAGGCCTGCCCCCTCTTAGTCACACTGAGATCCGACGCCGCGAACATTTGAAGCATCCCCAACAATCACGCCTGGAGCCCTGGACCCCGCCCTCCCGCTCCTTTCGTCGAGCTGGATCGTTCTGTGAGGGCCCCGGAGCCCGCAAACGGACGCAGACGCCCGGCCCGACGAAGTGGCAGCGCCGGGAATCTCGGGGTCCGGCGCCCCCTGCGGGGTCGACGCCGGGCTCCCAGGCTCAGGGCGGCCCCCTGGGGCCCGCCGCGCGCCGAGCGCCGCGGGCGCGCCCACGGCGCGCCCGCGCTCCGATGGAGGGCGTGGCCGCCCGGCTCGCGGAGGCGACCGGCCGGCCCCTGGCGGAGGCGCTGGGCGCGCTGCGCGCGAGGGGCGGGAGCGCGGAGGCCGCACGGGGCGGGCCCTCTCCCGGAGGGGGGCAGGAGCGGCCACGCGCAGAGGGGGGCAGGAGCGGGGGCCCACGCCAAGAGACACCCATCGTCACCACCACCGTCACCATCACCAGCCATCAATCATCATCACCATCACCATCACCATCACCATCACCATCACCATCACCATCACCATCACCATCACCATCACCATCACCATCACCATCATCATCATCACCATCACCATCACCATCATCATCATCATCACCATCATCATCACCATCACCATCACCATCATCATCATCACCACCATCATCATCATCATCATCATCATCACCATCACCATCACCATCACCATCACCACCATCACCATCACCATCACCATCATCATCATCATCATGCTCTTCCTCCTCCTCCTACTCCCTCTTCCCCCTCCCCCTTCCCAGATTAAAGAGGAGTGTAAAAAAGGCAGGGCGAACAAACGGGATGACTGAGTGAGCGGGTGAGGAGTAGAAGGACGGGGGCGAAGAGGAGGAGGAGGAGGAGGAGCAGGAGGAGGAGCAGTATCCCTGCCTCGCAAGTTAGCCCAAGCATGTGTTTGCCCCGTTCGCTTCCGCCGTTTTCTCGCAGCCTGTGTCGGCCCTCGTTGCGCGCCCTGCGTCGCATTGAAGGGCCTCGGTGGACAAGCACACGTTGGCGCTGACACACGCTCTGATTCTGAGGATCAGCGAACGAGGGTTTCTGAGCGCCGCGGCGTTCAACACCAAGCCCTCACACGGTTCGATGTTGTGTCCTGTCTTGTCGTAAAAATGTACGATACCGTTGCCTTCGCTTCGTTTTCGCCTTATGTGGGTGCCTCTTTGGATGCCCTCGTCGCCACTGCTGGATTCGCTTCGAAATTTTTGTCAGAACGTGGAGAGTTGCGGTACCGGTACCCAGTACCTGTTCATGTCTCCACTTAAGAAGGCTTCTTGGAAGGAAGCGTTTTTTTCCCGATCCTTGCAATATTCCAGCCTCAGGATGCACTCCAGCAGCTGCGCCTCGCCAAGAGCGTTCTGGGGGTGCCTGGACTGGATCGTCGTCCCGAACGGCCGCTGGAGGCCCGCATTATGTCCCGAAAGTTACCCGGCGTCGAGGAGTAGGTTGAGGATTAGGGGTGGTCTATCATTGCCGGGGCCGCAACATTTGCCCGGACTTGATGGCCCCTTCTTCTTGTTTCAGTACGTCCCTTGGCCCTTTGCCCCACCTGGGCCGCGCACATGCCTTCGGCCATGATTTGCGACCCCCCCCCCTGGACGCCCCCCTCTTAGACTCTCGGAGGCCCCCGTGTAGCAGGCTTCTTGATCGAGCCCGAGCCTCCCGACCCGCTTCGCGAGGTTCGCTCGCTGGTGTCTGCTGCAGCCAGCCAGTGCGGAGGAGGAGGAGGAGGCGGAGGAGGCAAGAGGCATCGAGCAGGCATCAGAGAAGTAACACCTCCTGGATCACAAGACTGCGAGGTGGAGCGCGCCGAAGCCATACTCCGCAGGAGAGGGGGAGACGGGGGGCAGGCGGCCGTCCCCTTCTGCAAGGGGCAGGCACGGGGCGCGGGGCCCGCGCCATCGGGCGGCCCAGCCGCCGCGGGAACGCCAGGAGGGGCCGCAGTCGCCTCTGCGCAAGGCGGGGAAAAGCCGTGCACCGCCGTCGGGACGACCGCGTCAACGCCACCGCGGCGCGGCTCCTGCTCAGCAGCGGCATGGGTCGTCGAAGCCGCCGTCGTCAGGGACAGTCGCCGACACAGCTCCCCAGTCGCCTCCCGGGGGGTATTTTGGGGATTCGCCAGGGCAGGCTTTCACTGCCGAGGCCGTCGCATCAGACGACTGTGTCGCTTACCTCACCAAGCTTACTTGTCCATCCAACTCTGCCAAACGTGCGCGGTTGTTTTAACGCTGCTTCGTGATTGTCAGCCTGTCATCGTACGTGATTCCTTTGTAATGTTTCGGGTTCTGCATCTTCTTTTTTGTGCAGCGAGCAGGTATGATCAGACGTCAGCACAAAAGCGAACGTCGAAACGCTTCGATGGACTGAGCAAGAGAGCAAACAAGAGAAGAGCATGTTTTTAAGATGCGAACGCGCCGACGCCGCCACGCGCACGCCGCCGCCGCCTCGAGGGGGCGGCAGCAGGCGCCGCCGGGCGGATCGATCTTCGGGGACCTCGGCAGGAGGACATATTCGGGCCCGCCGGGAGCCAAGACATACGTATCCATACGCACCGCCCGCTGGGGTCCCAGGACGTTGGTTTCTCAGGTGGTGGATGCGGATGTCCCGGCCTCGTGCTGTCGCCGACCCTTCAGCTGCATCCCCCGCCCTGCACCGGCGCCAGCACCGCAGCCCGCAATCGGCAGGCCAACGAACGAGGGCACTCGGATCATCAGGAGAAGAGGCCACGTGACCTGCCGAGGGCGAGGACGAAACCGCGGACGTGCATGCCTGCTCCTCCAGGCCGACGGCGCGAACGCGCCATGCCAGCCGCGGCGAGGGCGAGCAGGTCAGTGGTCGCCAAGCCCCAGAGGGTGGACAAGGCACTCCCGAGCCTGCCATGCGGCGGCCAGACTCGGTACGGCCGTCCTGCCACACCCTGCATCGCTCGCCTCCGCAGCCGCCCAGTGTTGAACCCGGCATGGCTGGGATGGTATGAGTGCATAATTAGGATGAGAAGTGGGGCAGAATCACATCCAATTTGCTCGTCCCCAGGGCGGTAGATACTAATGCGCTGGAGAAGAGAATATACGTGGTGTACTCTATGTGGAGCAGTTCACCCTGCTGAACTTTGGACTTGTTAACTCAGCTGCTCGCGCAATCAACCCACCCACCCACCCGCTCGAAACGTGGTCTGCAAAACCCATGCGGCGGCGATTACGACGACTGCTTGGCGCTGGCTGGCGCATCGCCGCGGCCACACTAGCGCGCGCAGGCTCGCGCGCAGAACGGCCAGCCAGTCAGGCACGAACGATGCGGCCGCAGTCGCGCTGACCGCCGGATACTTCGCGGCGCGTCTCGCAGGCCGTGCTGACGCGCGGGCACTTCAGTGCGAGTCTGTGGCTCGGGCGGGCGCGGTATCACGGCGATGTTGCCAGCAGCGGACACGATGATGATAGTAACGATGTTTGTGATGACGATGACAGTGAAGACGGCAAGGCCAATGACGGCGCCGATGCTGAACACGCCGTTGGCGACGGTGTTTCACGTGTCGGCGCATGCGCGCGAGGCCGACGGGCGCGAATGGCCCGCATGGTACTTTTTGACCGGGACTGTGCCCCCCCAGCACGCGCGGGAGGTCGTTCGAATGATTTCGGCATGCGCGCGCGAGAGGCACGCGTGGTCGAATCATACGATTATGTTAAAGCGCCTATGGGTCTGAGGAGAATTCGTAAGTGCGCGCATTTTTTTTTTTTTTTTTTTTTTTTTTTTGGAAAAGCAGGTTGCAAAGCCATGAACGACATTTTTCGGGCCTGTTTTGAGAAGAACCGGTTTTTTTCTAACACTTTGAACTCATTACGACACCGGCGGTGTTGGAAAGAATTACGCACCCGCGCGCCAACGCGCGCATGTGCACCTCGTCCTTTCTATTGCAACGGATTTTGCACATTGACGGTGGTTTATAAACGAGTGTGCGCGCATAGTGTCTTTTACAGAGGACGGCGGGGGTGGGGGGGTCAAACCCGGTTTGGCTTGGATGACATGATTACATATTTTAGGGGGGTAACCCCGAATGGAGGGGTATATCCGACATGTGTTCAGGAAATGAGAACCTATGTGGTGCAAGGCACCCTGCCGAATTTGAAGTTGTCAATTCGCGCAATCGTCCCACCCACCCACTTGCAATTCTGTTGGGAAAACCAATGCGGCGGTGATTGCGACGACTGCTTGGCGCTGATTGGCGCGTCGCTGCGGCCGCGGTAGCGCGCGCATGCTTGCGCGCAGACAGGCCAGTTAGTCAGGCGCGACCGACGCGGCTGCGGTGGCGCGACCGCTGGGCACTTCGCAGCGCGTTTCGCAGGCCTTGCTGGCGCGCGGGCGCTTCAGCTCGACTCGGTGACCCAGGCGGGCGCGGTATCGTGACGACGTCGACAATGGCAGACACGAGGATGATGGTAGCGATGCTGGTGACGCCAGTGACGATGACGATGGGCACGGCGAAGCCAATGACGGCGCCGATGGTGATCACGTCGATGGCGATGATGTTATCTACGCGTCGATGATGAAGATTGTGGAAGGATTTGCGCGCGGCCGACGGGCGCGAGTGGCCCGCATGGTATGTTTTGGATTTGGGTCGTGCCCCCCCAAGCACGCGCGCAAGGGCGTTCGAATGAATTCGACATGCGCGCGTGAGAGGCCCATTTGGTCGAATTTGAGGAACATGTTGACATGCCGATGGTTTTGAGGGGGGCTCGCAAAAACGTCGGTGGGTAAAAACGCATGTTGCAAATATGCGCGTGTTTTACATGTCCGCGAGACACTCGATTTCGAAATCTTTTGCGAAGCCCGATGTTTTTGAAGTTTCGGCATGCGCGCCCGCGACGTCGCGCGCGTGTTCACTTCGCCACAGCGGTCGCGAAGGATTTGCCGAAATGGCTGTTTTGGGATCGACGGGTGTGCGCGCATAGTGTCTTTTGCAGAGGATGGTGGGGGCCGGGCCTGGCTTAGCTGGGGTGATACGACTATTGAGTTAGAATGAACGACGGGGCAGAATCGTAAACACATTGCATATCAACAAGAGGGGCCATAATTAGGGGGTAGTTTTTCATTCCTTCCACGACGAAGGAGAACTGTGGAGTTGCGCAATCTGGGCGGCGACGGGGCGGCGATGAGGCGGCGGCGGGCGGCAACGACGACAACATAGCCGTCAGACCGGCAGACAGGCCCAGACGACAGGCGGCGACGCGGCGGCGACGGCGACAATATAGCGGACAGACCAGCAGACACGCCCAGGCGACGGGCGGCGACGAGGCGGCGGGGGCGGCGACGGCGACAACATA